GGGGGGGGGGGGGGGGCACAAAACTTATTTTAATAATGACAACTGCAAAAATCAAGATATTATAACAAGAAAGAGGGGAAAAAATATTGAGTTATACTTTAATTTTTATCAAAAGTTAGTATTAAAAAAATATATCAAAAGAATAAATGCAACTCGAGCAAAGACTCTTATCATTCTTTCCTTCGATAAAATGTTTAATTAGCAAACATTAAATTATCATTTGTCAGAAACAAAAATAAAATAAGTTTAAAACCTCAAATTTAAAAGATAAAACGAATTTTGAAGCTCAAAATGTCAAAATCTCTTAAATAATTTTGGTTATTTTTTCCATGGCTTCAATCCTTTGTAATGTACTAGCTTGGGGAAACCAGCGCTGCCCAGGCTACTAAAAGTTATTTTCGCCGTTTACCTGCACTTGAACTATTTTACCGGAAAACTAAATTTTCGCTATTAAAGTCGACCCACTCAAGTTATAATCTCAAAACCAAGCTAAGGACATTCCTGTGAGTTTCTTGAGTTCCCCCAATCAAAATTTGAGGCAAATCGGTCCAAGGGTTCTTGAGTTATGCTCGAACAAACAAACAGACACCCAGACTTACAACTTTATATATACATAGATAAGTCATTGTATGCTTAAAAAGTCTCTCTTAACTAATTTAAAGGTGGAAATAATCAAAAAACAATTAATTATCTTAGATCGCTTGTCATGCCAGGGTTTATAAGAAAACAAGTTTATCAAAACTGGGACTGCTTACTCTCGTTTAAAAATATTTTTGCATGAAATTGAACTGCATACGAGTATTGATAAATTGATAAATAATTGTTTATATTTGCATTTACATTTAAGCACTTCAAGATGTTTTATCTAAGGCCAGATCTCAAAATCGTGATAATTCAAAATTAAACCAGAAAATTGTCTTTCAACTTCAAACCCCCCCCCCCCTTCCACACACTTCTGTCTGCTAAGACTGAAAGCCCCATTTCCCTTTCATGTATGTCTAAACAAAACAAGAAAAGAAGGAAGGATGATAGAGCTTGTTAAGCTTACTTTGCGTCAAATAGAGTGTTTATAAATAGTTGGTTCAGATAATCATGAGAATCAAAACAGAAATAAATTGAGCAAAATAATCTTTGTCAATGAGAAACAAATGAAGATTTAAAAATAGCCAACCCATATTTAACATATAAACCTGGGACTGTCTAATTAAGTGACTCTCCATTTAAAAAGATACACTCCGATTCACAACAATACCCTTGAAACCTTAATCTAATCAATACATGTAGAAGATATGTGTTTTCTGGCTCGAAAGCTGTTCAATTCTGACCATTTCTCCGTTGTTTCTGAGCAATATTTGCGCAATTCACTTTTTTAAAGAAATCACATTTGAACAAAAACCAATTTTCTAACACGAAAACACTGATTGTTAATTAATATCTTGCACATAAAAAATCAATGAAATATTCTGGTCATAGGAAACTTTTATGTGAATTATCAAAATTTTCAAAATTCAATTTTAACCTCCTCTGATACAAAACGAAAACTGATGCATCTATTCCTGTTTACAAATTCCGCCCAGAGATAATTGGTTTCAATATGTACGCAACTGCAATTAACTTTCCTTGCATTATAACCTTTCAGAAATATATTTTTCTGAAAAAAAATTTGAGAAATAATTTTTTTAACTTCCCAAAATCATGAATTTTCTCAAAACTCAAAGTGATAAGTTTCAAACTTGAACTTACTGCATTAATGTCATAAGTCATAAAAATTGAGATGACTGATTGATTGCTAACTTGAGGGTGAAGTTCTCATACCAAGTATCATAAAACACCTTCATAGTCTATGGCCAAAGTCCTTTCATCTCTAAAATGGTGTCCTCCATTTTAAACATTCAAACTTGCCACAGATATAAAATAATTTAGTTTAGATTTAAATTAATGAAATAAAACATTTCTTTCATACTTCTAGTAAAATTGGATGTTACATCAAATAGTTGTCAAGTACAATAGATGGCAACGTAGAATTTGTACACTCTCAGTACAGCTGTATTCTTACGTCACAAGTGTCAACAGTTTATAGTGATTATAAAGTGTTTATATTATTATTATTATTATTATGAAATAATTGCAATTTTGTGTTCTTTATTTTCTGTTTTTACACTTTATCTTATCTTGGAAAACATGTCAACTAAAGTGAGAAAATTTCGTTTTCCTTGTCATATTTGACACTTATGACGTGTATAATTAATTCATTTCTCTGTTGCCACCTATTGTACTTGATAATCTATTTACAAATTATAACTTTTATTGGGACACCGTTGATATATTTCTTACACAATTTTACACGTATTTTTTATCTTATATTCGTGTTCCAATATTTTTCATGATTTTTACAATTACACACACTCTGGCCCACAGCAAGTACATGTACGGTTTCCGATACGCAATTATTAATGCGTAATTGTTAGTTTCTAAAACCGCATTCTCAGGCCCGACGTTAAAAAAGAGTATTAACAATTTTTTAACAATTAGATTTATGCTTTAAACATTTCAAGTTAAAATGTAGAGTAAGACCATTGAGGGGAAAGAAAGGGGGTGGGGTAAATGAAAATGTTACAATTACAGCTTCCAAAGGGTCCTTGCAGTCTTGAAATCTATATCCTATACTACTGGGCAGGAAGCTTAAAGTATATGCCCAGGGCTGGACAATTCTTAAACCTTTCAGTTGAAATAGGTTTCTCAAGTTTCAGCCCCCACCCCCTACTCNCTGTTGTATTTACACCCCTATATTGAGGGAGGAAGGGGGGCTGTTGTATCTACACCCCTGTATTGAGGGAGGAAGGGGGGCTGTTGTATCTACACCCCTGTATTGACGGAGGAAGGGGAGCTGTTGTATCTACACCCCTGTATTGAGGGAGGAAGGGGGCTGTTGTATCTACACCCCAGTATTGAATTCTACTCCGTATTTACTAGTTGAATAAAAATCGTGCCTAGTTTAGTCTTGAAGGACAAAGGAAATATAGAATTAGGTTTTAATCAACTTATATCCAAACCAAATAATAATGTTAATAAGACAAGGAAAAAAACTGGAATTAGTATACAAGGAAAATAAAAAAGAACAAATGAATCTATGGGGGGGGGGGGGTCGGAGTTTTTTTCAGGGATTTTGGGGAGAAAATTGAAGACTGTAAATGACAATTTTTCCAACCTTTAATGCCCAAATTTCTTTTCCAATTTGAGTCTTCAAATTCAAAACCTTAACTTTTTTATTTTTTTTCCCATTTTTTTCAATTTTAGGATTTTTATACTTAATCTTTGTGTTGCTGAAATCTTGATTTCGGTTTTTATCGCTTTAATTGGAAGAATTCAATTTGAGTTTAAGCATCAAACAGTATTGAAAAAAAATTGCCATTAAAACAATACCCAATAATATACAATCCTGACAGAACATTAGAAACCCTACCTAATAATATACAACCCTGACAGAAAATTGGAAACCCTACCCAATAATATACAACTCTGACAGAAAATTGGAAACCCTACCCAATGATATACAACCCTGACAGAAAATTAGAAACCCTACCCAATGATATACAACCCTGACAGAAAATTAGAAACCCTACCCAATAATAAACAACCCAGAAATAAAATTAGAAACCCTACCCAATAATAAACAACCCTGACAGAAAATTAGAAACCCTACCCAATAATAAACAACCCTGACAGAAAATTAGAAACCCTACCCAATAATGAACAATCCTGAAAGAAAATTAGAAACCCTACCCAATAATATACAACCCTGAAAAAAAATTAGAAACCCTACCCAATAATAAACAACCCTGACAGAAAATTAGAAACCCTACCCAATAATAAACAACCCTGAAAGAAAATTAGAAACCCTACCCAATAATATACAACCCTGACAGAAAATTAGAAACTCTACCAAATAATATACAACCCTGACAGAAAATTAGAAACCCTACTCAATAATAAACAACCCTGAAAGAAAATTAGAAACCCTACCCCATGATATACAACCCTGACAGAAAATTAGAAACCATGCCCAATAATATACAACCCTGACAGAAAATGGTTGTACATCGAATTCCTGGATGATGTATAGGGGTAGACCTAAACATATTTTGCAAAATTATCCATGCCAAATATTGGCCAATACCAATACCGGTATTGCAAAAACAAGCTGTCACACTGTGGCTAAATTTTAACAGTTAACCATTCAATATAGGGGAGGGGGGAGGGGGGGGCACTAAAAAATCACTTTGAATTTTTTTCTTTATTATTATTTGAGATAATAATTTGATAATGATTTCTGACAGTAATAGGTTGTTAAATGCATTTAATAGTTTCAATTTAAGTCTGTCATCTAATTTGCTGTATGTGCATTAGATTATTAATTGCAGTTTTGTAGATTGCATTTTTCAGAAGGCTTATTAGATATATCAAGCGTGTAAAATTTATAATACTGTATTTATTGAATTCAGCATCTATCTTTTATCTATATACTTTGCTTGTCTGTCTGCCTGCCTGTTTGACTGTTTGTATCCAATAAACGTCAAAAACGTCTGAACCGATCGGGTCCAAATTTTGTGTGGGACCTCACAGGACCCCAGGGAAGGTTTATGAATG